GAGAGAGAGAGAGAGAGAGAGTGAGAGAGAAAAGAGAGAGCGCGTGAGATGGGGAAGGGGTGGGGATAAGAGTTTAGAATGGCGGGACGGAGGGGAAAGAGGATTGGATGGATGGACGGGAGAAAGGGTGGGGGAAGGGACGGGTGGGCGCGGAGTCGAGGGAAGGTGAGTGTGAAAAAGAGAGCGAGAGCGAGAGAGAGAGAGAGAGAGAGAGAGAGAAAGAGTGACGACAGAGAAGGGTGTTTGGTCGAGCAGGATGCAGGAATCGGGTGGACTCGAAGCCGTCGAGTGCTGCACATACGCGCGTGTACGCACGTGCGCACATAGGCACACGTTCTTTATAGTTTATACGAATAGACTTCTGTCTTGTTGCATTTAAGTAACTAGCTTCCTCGAGTATGTATATATATACACATAGGTATATGTACAGTACATATATATGTGAATATATATAGTCGCTATTACGTAATAATAACACGTACTCTCGTCAATTGCACCAAATTTTCTCCTCTCTCTTTCGCCTCTCATTCGCGTCTCTTTCTCACCGATCTTGCCTATCTCTCTCACTCTCACGCTTCCTCTCGTTCACGCTCGTTCTCTCTCTCTCTCTCTCTCCCTTTCTCGCTCGCTCGCATTATACTCTCTCTCGCACTCGTTCTCCCTCGCATTCGCCACGGCTTAACTATTATCCGCTACCTGTATTGTATATAACTACAACGCTATGGTAGACAACAACAAATAATATTACCCTAAACTTGTTTCGCCTGTTTCCTCTACATCGTATTCGTATATGCCGTAAAAATGTTGTATATAATGATATTAATATTGTTTATATATTTTGTTTTATTGCACACGGTATCTCGGTCGCGATGGCGCCGCTACGTCCAACGAACGTCGAGCATCCGATTGATCCTTGACGGCCGATCACCGATCCCCACGCAACCAACCACGTTTAATTAAAATCCCCTAGTGAACCATAACAGATGCCCGGTATATCTCGTTACGCGTTCCACCCGAATTTCCCCCAGTTTCTGTCCGCGTCCGCGGGAAACGAAAGAGAAAAGAGAGGAAAAGAAAGGAAAAAGGGTACGATCGAAAAATGGCGCTCGAAGCGGCACCCTTTCGCGATTAGACGAGATTTGACGGGGGGAAAAAAAAAAAGAAAAGGGAAAAGGACGTGATCGGCTACGCTCAATTACCGATCCTGGACGCTCGTTCGCTTTCGGTTCCAACGCGACGTTTTTATCTCTTTAACGTCAGCCTGTTGTATTTTCATTTATTTATATCTTCCTCCCCTTCTTCTTCTTCTTCTTTTTTTTTTTTTTTTTTTTTTGCCACATTTTCACTGTACTCGTTTTTTTTTCTTTTTTTTTTTCTTTTTTCATTATCTTGCGTGTAATCCTCGTTAACGCTCAACTTGCACGCGATCAGCGATTTCTCTAGATATAAGCCGAAAATCATCCTGCGTGAGGTGTAAATAACATGGTCGTTGGTGCAGCATTTGTCTTGTCCCCGTTGAAAATACGCTCGTACCGGTGCCCGTACGACGATCACACCGTGACTGAGACAAACGAAAAGCATGGTCGTCTATCGAGAAGATCGATTTGCCGTTTACATATTCGACAGGTATCACAAAAATCGTCAAATCGAACGCTTGTCGAGACCTCGTTGTTTCTCGATCAAATTGCACGTGCACGCTGCAATCCGTAGTAAAATTCATAATATTTATATTTATACATATGCGCGTGTGTGTACGTGTTCACGTGTCGCGTGTATGCGGGGCTGTGTGCGACGCGTACGCGTGCATGTGCATACATATGTACGCGTGTACATACACGCGTACGCGTGCGTATGTACTAGGCTGGTTTCGTCTAATCGCATGTATCCTAAATATCCGCGAGAAACAGAAACGACCCTTGTCCGTTCCAATTTAACCCTGTCACTGTCGCTGGGTTCTTCCACTCCACGCTTTTCTAGCAAACGATAATAGGCGCGTTTAACGCGCTTTGTACCTCGGTGTAGGAGTATCGCAATTGAACGGAATCGTAAAACGATGGTGCAATTGTCGGCGAGGGTGGGAAAACGGGGGGATGGGAACGAAGGCGTGGAAAATGGCGGAGGGGTGGACGCGTGGAGCGAGTACTCGCGGTCAGATAAAGGGTTAAGAGAAGAGCGACAATGCGATATAATTGGTACGCACGAGCGAAAGAAAGCGTTGCCGTAATAAAATCATCCTATCCTCGGACTCTCTCACCCCGACGTATACAACGTTAGACCTTTACATATTTATATGCGCCTGGTATGTATATAAGTATGTAGATAATGTATGTATATGTATAATAGTATAGTTATTTATAATATTTTTTATTTTCTTCATTTTCATCTAAGGTTCTGCGGTAACCTAGCTTCACTCGTCTCCTCTCGTTTACCTCGTAAAACCCGGATTTCTCGATTACGTCGTGTCTCCGGTACGTCTACTACTGCGGCGATGGACGGGGGCTATGTAATGCGACGAATTCAACAACGACAATCATAAAATATATATATATATGTGTTGTATATATACGTGAAAAAAGAACCGGAACAAACGAGATCACACGTATATATATATATATGTATCGTGCATACGCACGCACGCGCGCGCGCGGGTGCGCGCGAGCAGCCGCGGCCTGTGTGTCGTTGCGTGTAGCTAATCGCGAAAGACACGGCATACACCGAAGATCGATAATTGCCTGTCATCTTTCACGCGTGCAACCTTCGCACGCGCGCACACACACGTCTTATAGTATACGTAGTGCGGTGTGCGTGGGTGGGTGTGTGCGCGCGAGCCCGCGCCCGCGCCCGCCACTGCGTGTACAATCGTTTGCACGCACATACACGTATATAATGTATAATATATGTGTATATATATACATACAATACGTATTTAATCTTTAATATAATCTTTAATCATATAGAAACTTTGTAACGCTTTCATCCATTTTCTTTTTTTCTTTTTTACTTTTCCCTAAATATCTTACAATTTAAGTCTCTAATAATACCGCTAAGTGTTCAGTTACTTTATTAAATCGTCAACGTCTCTTTCTCTTTGATATGTGCGTTCGCGCCTTGTCATTGCCAAGAGAATGTGTTTTTAAGCCCTTTTTGTAAGCGGAATTCCTCTCCTCTCCTGCTCCTTCTCCCACCCACCTTCCTGTTCACGTACCCCCGAGCTCTCCGTTTCTCTCTTGCTCTCAGTGCACACTGGTACGCTCTCGTTCCCTAACCCCCTGTGTCTCTCCTCCTCTTTCACCCTCCATTACCATAACCTCGCAGTAACGTTATTCGGATGGAAAGCGACATTCTCGACACGATCGGGCGACAGACGAGGAAAAGAAACTTTCCCTTTCGCACCGCGAGAGAAGCAGACCGCTCACCGAGTAGTACCTTCCTCTGGCTCCGTCAGGACAGGGATCAAGCTTCCGCGAGACGCCATCTTGGTCACCGAGCGTGTTCCGTATATCAACCGCGAGTTATCCTTCGACCGAAATCGAATCCACGAGCACGGCCGCGAGCATGATCCCTTGGCATGACGAGAGTCCAGCAGCTGTCGAGAGCGACCAACGGAATTCCAATTCGCACCTTTTCTTTCTCACCCTTTCTCTCCCTTTCTCTTCGCTGCCGCGTTTCGGAATAATGTAACGAAAATGAGAAGAAAGGAAAATTGTCGGATAGAACTGGGTCGCAGCGCGAACTTGGACGAGGTACCTACCCCCTCTGTTTTCCCGGTTCCACTGAACGGGAGAAAGCTGCTTTCTCCGTCGGCTTTGGACACGCGCGCGTTCCCGGCAGCGAATGAAAAAGAAGGAACAAGTACTCTTGAACCACGAACACGATTCGCAACGTTTAGCATCTCCGCGTACCGACGTCTTCGACAACGCAAGGTTCGACTTAAACGATCGCTCTTACATACGCGTATATATTACTCTTTTTTTTTCGCATTTTTTTTCCTTTTTTCCGTTTTCTTTTTAATATATAAAAACGAATTCTCGAGCGGTTAAGTTTATGGAATCGGCCGCAACGATGTGTGCCCCGTTGCGTCTCTGCGGCGAGACGCGCGTCGAAAGTTCAGAGATTAGAATTGAAACTCGATGTCCCCTTTCAACCCTCAACGATGTTTATCCTAAAGTATTATAAAGTACAAATTACGAGCGCGATAATACCCCGAGCTTCGAGCATTTCTCTCGGCTGACCTTCGCCTTATCACGCGATCACCCGCGATCCATCCGCTTTCGTTCCACCGAGAGCCACGCAACGAACTCTCTCCGTTTCACCGTTTTACTTTCACCCTAATAACGCGAGTAGGTTTGAACTACGTTGAACGAAAAGGATCTCGCCGGTTCTCGCCTTTCGAGTTTCGTTGTCCGTCCACGATTCTCTCCCTCTCTTCAGCTGTTCGAGCGCGGCAACTCTGGTCGTCCTCTCGATCGTCGACGCGATCGGTTCGCGGAAGGTTCGAGAGAAAGGTCGAAAGCTCGAGGGATTAGCCTTTACTTCGATCACCGCTTCGACCGCACCCGTGCTCGGCGCCGCGACGATCGACGCCGTGACGGCCGAGCATCCGAGATGACGGACTCGACGATGACGAGCGGTTTCTCTATACTTCGACGAGCTTTGTACGAATAATAATCGGTCGTTACGGTATCGGTACGCGCTACGATAACAAATGTTCGATCGAAAACGTTTATAATAATCGAAGCTACACGGAATCTCTCTCTCTCTCTCTCTCTCTCTCTCTCTCTCGCTCGCTCTCTCGCACATGCACGCTTTCGCTCGTTTTCTCGGCGTGGTACTAAAAACGCTAAATCGCAAAAAAGGGGCACCGCCATTTGTCTCTTTTCTCCTCGGGTCACCGTGTCTGTCTTTGCGTGTATACGTGTATTTTTTTGCTTTCTTTTAATCGTTTTGTTAAATCGGTGATCGGTACTTCGGGAAGATCGTATTGTGCATCTTTCGCTACTCGCTTCTCGTAAATCGTTTACGAAACTATCGAGAAACGCCTACGTCCTATCAGCTACTTCGCGCTAAAGGTTCCTCCTCTGCTCTCCTTCGTTATATACTGTATATGTACGCTTGGTTGCTCGCTCGTTATGTCAAATCGTCTCGCGAGAAGCCGCTGCATCCGCGCTCTCATTGTCCTTCATTGTCGTATCTCTACACTGGCACGATCGCGGGGCCTATACTTTGCAAAGAACGATCCGCGGATGCGAGAGGATCGGTGAAAGCGACCCAGCGTCCCACCAGCAACGTGTGACAAACGCCCGGTTCTCCTTTCTTCCTCGACGGACTACGAAAGTTCCTCGTTCAAGTAGTATCGGTAAACGATAAGGCAAACGGCTGACAATTAGACGCGACGCAGCGTAACCGCGTGACGATCGGCGATCCAACTTCTTCTTCCACAAACTATTCTCTCCTCCTCTTCCTCCTCTTCCTCTTCCTCTTCCTCCTCTTCTTCCTCTCGTCACCGACGCGAATCGCGTAGGCTACCACGGCCGATCGCCACGGATCAACGTAGAATTACCGTAACAGTAGTAGAAGCGTAAGATTAGTTCGATGCTAGAGATGTAAAAGTCGGTGAAACGCGAGGGTGAAACAGCACCCGGCTACGGACGTTTTTCGTACGAGTCCTGTAGCAAAGAGCGAGAACGTTAGGTAGACATAGCAGCGGCTAAAGAGTAGAACAACGATGATTCGTGGGTACGGGTGAACGAGCCGCGGACACGAAGCTCGTCTCTCGGAGCGTGTAGCTGCTTGAACCGGGAATGGGTTCCCTCGTTTGAGTTTCGAGTCGAGAGTATACAAAAGTGTGACAACGTTTTCGAGTATGCGCGAAGTGAATTCCCCGTTTAATTTCGTCACCGAATCGGTCGCGTTCCGTTACCATTTTCTACTCTTCTCGTATCTCCACTCGTCGTGAATTTTTGGTCTCTCCTCGTTACGATTTGATTCTTTGCATCGTGCGAGTATATATATATATATATTTTTTCTTTTTTTTTTCCGAGTTTTCCCGTTTTTTTTTTTTCTTCTTTAGTAAAAAGCTAGGCCGCTGTTAGGCGTTCGCGCGATTCCGGACACACGCGTCGCTCCTGCTGATCCTCTTGCCGAACAATAATCACCGCTGCGATTTTTCGCCTCCTTCTCGTTTCCTAAAATTAGTCGATATCACGTTATAATTATTCGTTAGAATCTACGCGCTCGAAAACGTGCTTTTAAACATTTTATATAATATACAACCCCGTCAACGCGAATTAAAAATACCCCCGCTTACCTCTCTCTCTCTCTCTCTCTCTCTTCTCGTCTCTCCTATCATTCTCCACACCTTTCTCACTCTCTCTTCCACGCTGAACGTCTCAATCGCATTCTCGCCCTGTTACACCGGTCTCTCTCTCGCACTCTCTGTTTCTCCTCGCGTGCACATGTAACAACGGTGTAATAATAATGGTAATAATCGTAACAATAATAATAATATCGACAATCGGAATAATAATCGTAACGATAATAATCGTAATAGTAATTCAACATGGTCTAACGGTATCGCCATACAGCGTGTCATAGCGTGACATCGAAAACTCGAAAGAATTTTAGCGAAAAATAGCCTAGCGAGAATCTTTCGATCACGGAACCCACGCTCTCGTCGCCCAACGAAAAATTCTCCCAAAAATCGCCTTCTCCGCCGCGCGTGTCTCTCGTCTCCGAGCGTTCCGCTCCGCTCCGCTTCGAGCCTCCGCGCGTTCCATGATCTCGCGTGCTCGAGCTTCGTGGACTTGTCCTCGCGGAGGAGAGATCGGCGTGCAGGGGACAACACGGTGGTCGGGTGAATACCGTGAAGAAAGGTGCAGAGCAAGCGTCGCGGGTGCCCGATCCCGAAGACCGGTCGGGCCCCCTGCGCGCCGGACCCCTCCGGTCACTTGCGCCACGCGCTCAGGAAAGTTCGATCTCTCCTCGTGCCTCTTGCAAAGATTATCTGCTGGATAGCTTAGTAATCGAAGTTTAAAAACACGCCGCGAAAGCCGGAGGCGCGGGATCCATCGCGCTGAATCGCGAGCTGAAGGGGCCCGCGATCGCTCGAATGTTTCGTCAAAATTACACAGCCCGCTCGGGAAGCTCTCGAGGTGTTCTTACTTCTTACGATAGTTCGCTTTTTTACAGGGTAAAAGTCTGAGGGAGGATAACAAGGTTGTACTCGATCGTCGTATAATTAGAAATTTCTCATCTTCGAAACGATCCACGCGACCGCCGTCGTTCCGGCGATTCGCGATCGGAACCGGCGCTTCCGTTCCGGGCGTACGGCGTCGGGACACGGCGTCTCGCGATCGGCGCCTTCGTTTTCCCAACCTTCTCGCCGGAGACGCGACGCCTGCACGATCGATGGCCGTTTCGACGCTTCGCGACCTCGCGGACTCGCGCGCGGGTAAAAGCGGTGGAGAGATGGCGTCCGGCGTACACCGTCGCCATCTTGTCGATCAATCGTTCTCTCTCGGCGTGCACTTCCCGATAAAAAATCGGGGAAAAGGACTTAAAAACGAAACGCCGAGCGCCGGAAGCGTGTCCGTGCAGATTTCGCGAACGCGACAGAGCAGATTCGCTAGATTCTACGGTTATAGGCGAAAAGAGAATGTTGCTCGTTAGAGAGAGAAATGAGCGAGCGGTCAGGCCGTGCGCTGTGTGCCGAGGAATCGTCGATCGCGATCGGGACAGGTATCTCTTCCATCGATGTATAATTAGCTTTTACACACGGTACAGCGAATTCGTCGTTCTCGTCGCGGAACCATTTGGCAGTTCGACTAACGTCACTCGCAGAGCGACGGATCGAAGCGGAGACATCGACGAGTCGCGAATGTCTCCTCTCGCGGGTAGATCGGTGGTTGTGGAAACGAGAACGATGGTTGGCTGGATCGCGCGATCGACGGTCCTCGGGGGTAGTGTCGCGTTGGGGTAAGGTCGGTGGGGAAAAATGGGGAGATTTCGGTATCGAGACGCTGCTACGCGTTCACGGTGGAACGAGCGTGTTTAATAAGGACAGGTGGATGGGAGATGAAGGATAGGTGGGAAAAATAGGGAAAAGAACAGGGTAGAGTAGAGATTGGTCGCGATCGCTGGCACGATCGGCCGACGCGCTCGCTGCGTTTAGACAAAGCGACGACTACGTCTGTTCGTGGAACAGAACGCCGCTGGAATTCTTAACGAGATGAGTATTTCGTATCAGGTATTTCAAGGTTTATACAATATGTACACGTATCTCGACTAGAACAAAAACGCTTCGTAACCTGGGTGACGTGTAATAATAACCGTTTAACCGTTAAATCGGCGATGGGAGGGTAACGAGATTCTTAGGGAACGAGGGAAAGGGATGGTGCATCAACGCTGTTTCGATAGTTATTTCGGGAAGGCTGTTGTCCGTCGTTCCTCTTTCGATCGATGCGGCGCTCGAGGAAGATTTCTCTCGTCGGCCGTGGACCACTCGCCGACGACGATGATAATGACGATGACGAGACCCGTAAATGCGCGTCCATCTACCGTCCTTGCTGGACCTCTATCTCGCACGGCTGGTCCGCGTTCCTAGAACGGACAGATCAGGAACTCGTACTCGAACATCAGCGAGACGGCGACGAAGACGAAGTAGAGGAGGAACATGGTGAACCCGAGGCCCTTGTTCATCCGCCACTTGAAGCAGGCGATGCTCAAGATGACGAACAGCAGCATGCAGAAGAGGATGGCTATGCTGCACACCATGCCCACCGAGTTCACCTCCACGGGTCTGCCGTAGATCAAGCCGTAGAGCAGCCACGGTACCGGAAGCCTGCGGGCAGAAATACAACGGAAAATCCAGCCGAATTTCGCTACCCGTTAATTCCGTCCTTTCCACTCGTTCGCCAACGAGGTCGGCAAACTACGTTCCAGCTCTCTACCTTTGCTTATACTACCTTTACTCGATATTCTCCTTCTCGAGCAAGTGACCCGTGACCTGCTTCCGTCTCGAGGCGAGGCGAGGCGAGCCGAAACCTCTCGCTCGGAAAAAAGATTCCGAAACATCCTCGAGCAAAGGATTCGACTCGCCGACCTTCCTTTATCCCGTCCCTTGTCAGTTTACTCACGACCTCTCCTCCCTTGCCGCTCGCGAGCGCGGATATTAAAGGAAAAGTGGAACGCGAGGAACGCGCGATGCATCCGATAAATCGCGTTCGAGGCTCCCCACCGTCGGGCATTATCTTCGCTTCCGACCGCTTCTAATCGTAATCTCCGATGTGCAATCGCGTCTTCCGCGATATCTCTCCGCCTTTTTATCCCAGCTGGCACACCCGCCGCGGACCTCCGAGCGTGCTGCGAGGCTCCCCTGCTCTCTCTCCGCTCGGGCAACTTGCCAGCTGGCATCTCTGCAACGGATGCGTGCGAGCGGAATCGATCTTCGATCCCCTCGAATCCCGAATTCCCCGATGCTACCCTACTGGCCGGGAAATCGCGCGTACGTACGCGTGCGCGCCCAATCTGCCGACCAGCATCTACGGGGTGTGCCGCCATTACGCGCCCCTATTATCATCTTTGCCTTTCCCTTTTACCACACGTCCATCGACCAATTTCATTTCTCCGTTCGTTCACCTGTTCGTATACTAGCCTACCGAAACGGAACGACGATTTCAAAGATTCTTGGAAATGATGGTCGGTGAATTGATCCCGAATTGATCGCGAAACGAACCGTGGAGTCTGGCGAACGCCGCTGCGGAGGACCGAAAGAAGGGATGACTGGTTATTTGGTCCGCGTCGGGAAAAATTCCGCCAGCGGGGCGAGACCCGGTGTTTATCGTCGCCCTGCAGCGGGCGTATCCGTGGCCATAATCCATTCGACGCCTCGTTTATCGTCGCGGATGCCGGCTCGGATATCGTTAAGAATATCGCGCCGGTGGCCCGTTCCCGATCGCTATCGTCCCACTTTCCCGGCGAATTTTCCCGCAGCGAAATTTATCGACGCTGCTCCACGCCGTTTAAAGCGATTAAATTAATTAACCGAATTACTCCTAACGACTCGCCTCGCGGCCTCCGTTGTGCTTCTCACGCTTTGGCGCTTTGTTCCCCGACAGAGGAGCTAGACGGAGGAAGGATCACGGCGACCCGGTGCCTGCGACCTGTTAAAAGGATCGAACCGGCGCGATGGAGGATCCTGGTGGAAAATGAGTCGTGTCTGGCACGGTATTCCTGCTATTTCGCGCGCCAGCGATATAATAATACCGAGAAGCGGAGGCCGAGGCGATCGGCGAACGGCGAATGGCGAACGCTATTACAGGAGAATAGCGAGAATACCTCGCCGGCCTGGCGCAACCACCAATTCCACGCGTCTCCTCTTGGCTCCATTTGATCATCGGTGAAATTCCAATTTATACGATCGAGTGCTGCGATAACTAGGTAACGTTCGATTCCGCGCCCTCGCCAGTTTTCTCGGACAACCGAACAACTTTCCGAATCGCCGCGGACTTAACGCCCTCCGAGTGCCCCGTCGCCGTAATTCCATCATCCGCCATTCGAATGTCGTTCGTCGCCGCCATTTCGTCGCGCAGTAATGTTTAAATCCTCTCCGCGACGTCGCGAAGTTCCTCCATTTCCACGGTTCGCATTTCCCGGACCAAAAAGGATCACGAACGTATCAAGAATCGCTTATGGGATCTCCCGACAGACGTCGACTTGGCATTTTTCAGTGAAAAGCGACGACTAGAAAGGAAAATTCTGCTAGTCCAATTGGGTGTGCGCGTTAGACCAAAAAGGAAAGGTTTACAGGAATTATAGGATCGTTTTAACCGTTTGAGTGCCACGGGTCATTATTGTTTCCCAATCGATATTTGCCAAGCGGCGCGATAGCGCTTGTCATATTCCGCGTTCACCAACCGAGCGCGCTGATTGTCAGCTTCGCAGCTCAGAGCGCTGGCACTTTTGGACACAAAATAGAAGAAGCGCGATCGCGCCGCTTGGCACTCAAACGGTTAATTGACCCAACGCTGACGGGACATGTCTCCAGACTCGTCCGCGATCGCGTTGCTATTGGGGTATCTAAGGTATCTTAGGGTTGCAGCTATATTTTCACCGATTTGGAGGATGGGATCTTCGGACAGATGTAGTCTTCACATTTTTCATCGAAAAGCGACGATTGGAACGGAAAATTCTGCTACTTCGATTGGAAATGCACAGTAGATGGTACATCAAATGTTTATAGGAATTAAACGATCGTTTTAACCGACCTAACGCTGACGTGATATGTCTCGAGGCTTATTCACAATCGCGTTGCTATTGGGGTACCTAGATACTTTAGGGTTCGAGCTGTTTTTTTCCTGATTCAGAGAATTAGATCTCCTGACAACACGTCGTTCTACGTGTTTTCTCACCGAAAAGCCATGAACGGAAAGGAAAACTCTGCTACGTCAATTGGAAATGCACAGTAGATAGTACATGAAATGTTTACAGGAATTATACAATCGTTTCAATCGACCCAATGTCGACGAGACATGTCTCGAGGCTTGTTCACAGTCGCGTTGCTATTGGGGTACCTAGATACTTTAGGGTTTGAGCTATTTTTCCGTGATCAAGAGAATTAGATCTTCTGACAATACGTCATTCTTCGTGTTTTCTCACTGAAAACGACGACTAGAATGGAAAATTCTGCTACTTCAATTGGAAATGCGCATTAGACAGCAAATGAAACGTTTACAGGAACTATACGATCGTTTCAATCGACCTAACGTCGACAAGACATGTCTCGAGTCTCGTTGCTATTGGAGTATCTAGGTATCTTACTTTTTCGCGTTTCTCATGGAAAAGCGACGACTAGAAAGGAAAATTCTGCTACTCCAATCAAATATACGCGTTAGATGTAAATGTTTACAAGAATTATAGGATTGTTTTGACGATCGCGTTGCTAGTGGGGTACCTAGGGTACAACTTAGGGTTGCAGCTATTTTTCTGTGATACGAAAATCATAAATGCTTACAGGAATTATAGGACTGTTTTAACGATCGCGTTATTATTGGGGGTACCTAGGGTGCCTTAGGGTTGCAGCTACTTTGCCACCCAACAGATATCGTTTTTCGCGTTTTTCATCGAAAAGCAACGACTGGAATGGAAAATTCTCTCACTCCAATAGGATGTACCCGTTAGACGTAAATGCTTACAGGAATTATAGGACTGTTTTAACGATCGCGTTATTATTGGGGGTACCTAGGGTACCTTAGGGTTGCAGCTACTTTGCCACCCAACAGATATCGTTTTTCGCGTTTTTCATCGAAAAGCAACGACTGGAATGGAAAATTCTCTCACTCCAATAGGATGTACCCGTTAGACGTAAATGCTTACAGGAATTATAGGATTGTTTTGACGATCGCGTTGCTAATGGAGTACCTAGGGTACACCTTAGGGTTGCAGCTATTTTTCTGTGATCCGAAAATCGTAAATGCTTACAGGAATTATAGGACTGTTTTAACGATCGCGTTATTATTGGGGGTACCTAGGGTACCTTAGAGTTGCAGCTATTTTATCGTGATTCGAAGAATGGCAACTTCCGACAAACATCGTTTTTCGCGTTTTTCATCGAAAAGCAACGACTGGAATGGAAAATTTTCTCACTCCAATCGGTTGTACCCGTCAGACGTAAATGCTTACAGGAATTATAGGATTGTTTTGACGATTGCGTTGCTAATGGGGTACCTAGAGTACACCTTAGGGTTGCAGCTATTTTTCTGTGATCCGAAAATCGTAAATGCTTACAGGAATTATAGAATTGCTTTGACGATCGGGTTGCTAGTGGGGTACCTAGGGTACACCTTAGGGTTACAGCTATTTTCTCCCTGATCCGTAGACGACAGGACGATTGGACTGGAGCGAGCTAAGGTCGAGGCACCCACGGCTATCTATATTATCCAATTAAATAGATTGTGCCCGTGCACACGTTTCCGATATTTCCAATAAGCGGCCGATTGGCGAATCTGTCGGAAGACCGTTTCTTTAGTCCTTTCATCGAGTAATCGTTGCCGACGTCGAGCAATTTCCGTTCCCCGAAGATACCTTCTTTCTGCGCGAGGGGATCGATAGAAAGCCTTAAGAAAACTTCGCGTGTTATCCGACATACGAAAGGAAAAGTCTCGTAATAGCGCGAGCTGCGTCGAGATTCCGCTTGGCAAACCACCGGGGCTTCTTAAGTATTTTTTCAAACCATTTCGTCCCGTTTTCTCCTCGTTTTCGTGTCTTCTCCCCGTAACGACTAGGCACGACGCTTCGGAGAGTATCGGTGCACAATCGACGCGAAATTTTCAGCGAGAGCGAAGCTAGATACCGAATGCGAAGTATCAGTTTCGCGTATTTGATAGTTTTCTAGCTATTCAGACTCTCTGCTCGACTTTTCGCCGCAGAGAAATACCGATTCCATGAATTTCTGATAATTTCTGATATAAAATCGACGATGGTTTCTCAGCTGGTAGACGAGGAATCGAGTGCAAATTTTATTCCGATATTTCACGCGTTGTTACGTTATTTTAAATTTAATGCATCAGTTAACCCTTTGTACTCGAGGCGAGCTTCAGTCACCATTTCATAAAATTTGGAAGATCGATATTGTAGGATGGAAAATACTGGTCTTGAGACACCGAAAATTATCGAGAGAACAAGAACACGATAACACAAACTCAAAACTCGTAAACTGATTTAACTTAGGAAAGGAACACGAAGATAACGAAACGAAAACACAAGGACGCACTCTTTTAATACCGATCTTTAGAATTTTATTAAATCGCCAATGTAAATAGCTAAAATAACAATTTCTGAGAT